TTAAGATTCAAGGGAAAAAATTGGAAAAAATAAATGACATAAAGTGAACGTTGGAACAAACAGACAAAGGGCCAAGAAATAGGTCTCCCTGGGCGGAACAAAAATCTGGAGAAGAGGAAGGGAGCGATGGATGAGATCAACAGATCACTGTCATTAGCTGAATGGTCTCTGAACTGACTGATAAGAGCTGAGTTCTTTTCAGTGGAAAGAAGAAGGCTGCTGAAAGGACTTAAAATGTGGTATGAATAGAAAAGAATTTTTTCTGCACTGTTTCACTGCACTAAATCATAGCAGAGATAAGAGGGAGTGAAGGGAAGAAGTGCAGCAGAGTCTGTGTGCATCCCTAGATACGGAGAAGTGTCAGGTAACATCAGAGATAAGCTATGGGGAATAACCTTGGAGACCACTTTGCTTCTGTTACAGACGGGCTAGTTCGTTCATTCACCCCGTGTAAGCAATGCTGTATACATTACTGTGTATTCCACAGGCACTGGGAAGTCTACACAGACATAAGAAATCCCAGGTTTTGCCCTCAGGAACTTACCATCAGACAGAGGAGTACAATTACCCAACTAGTAAGCACCCCAGGGGTAGTTAAAAATAATGCTACACGGTTTAGAAGTAAACATTCTCTCAGCTAGTGTGACTGGGGTGGTGGGTGCTGGGGGCTTTTCTGATGAGGTAGCAGGAGCAGAGCTTTAAATGATGAATAGAATTTCAAACCCTGGAGATGAAGGGAGGAGGGCATTCAGACAGGCAGGACCTCTGGGTTGACTGGAAAATAAATATAAAGAATGAGATAAAAGAAAAACAGGAGACTGGAGCCAGACCATAGTGGTGTTTTTAATCTTCAATTCGGCAGCATGCATACTGGTGAGAAGTGTTTTTCAAATTCTTAATCTATCACAGAATTTTCCCTAGGAAGAGAAAAATTACTGAGTTTGAAATTTCACAACTGCACAAGAAAACAATGACAAAATTTAGAAAGATTTATTAAAAAAAAAAATCATCTCCATTGATAGAGCCTAGATAGTGAACTGGCTGAACATCCTCAAATAGGTCACAATGGCGTCACTGATGGTCACACCCTTGCCCATGTGCTCTAACTCAATCCCAGAGGACTACCTCTCAAAGGGGAGTTCAGTCACCACTGCTGGATCAAGCCTGGCTTCTACACAAAAACGATCGAATATGACTGGTGCTTCAAGCTTTTTACTAGACTGGGCTCAGAAAAAAACCACCAACCAATCAGGCTAATGGACTTCAAACTTGTCCTTATTTTGAGTCACTAAAACATATCTTTACTTGAAACTTTCCTAATATTTCACACTTAGTTTCTCTTTATGGTACACACGGCAAAAGAAACCCAAAAAACCTTACTATTCCTTAATGCAACAAAACACTCTTATTTTATGTAAGCAGATAATTGGGGGGCTGGGGCGGGGGAGAATATAGACAACACAACCCTGAAATACCTTTTCCCAAGTTGCATGTGTCTCAGTTGATGCGTTTGAATAGGATGGCTATTTTGGGTGTCACCTTGGCTGGACCATAGTGCCTACACATCTGGTCAAAGAGTATTCTGGATGTTTCTATCAAGGTGTTTTTGGATGAGATTGACATTTAAATTTATGGACTCTGACTTAAGTAGGATCACCCTCCATAATGTGGGTGGGCTTCACCCCAAAACAAGAAGGAATTCTGCCAGGGGACTGACTCTGGACTCAACTGCAACTCTTGCCTTGGGTCTACCAAACCTGCCAGCCTGACCTGCAGCTTCTGGACTGACCCTGCCTCCACAACTGCCTGAAGGAAGTGCTTAGGAGAAACCTCACTCTCTCCACACAAACCCACTCTCTCTACACAGACCTGTTTCTCTCTGGAGAACAATGATTAATACAGGTAGTAATGCCAGAATCAGGACTAGAGACTGCTAGTCAAACAACTTTCATTTCCAAGGAGAGGAGAATATAAGAAGAGCGCGGAAGGGCGTAGTCCCAAAGAGAGTAAAGTTACCTTACACACACCACTGTTTTTATTTCTTTCTCCAGTTTACTTTGAATTCATAAATTATGTCACAAATACTGCATAGATTTCCTTTCCAGCCCATTTCTTAGAACATCTGCACATGTGTATTTATTACTACATTCAGCCCAACAAGAGTTCCAGAATTACTAAGTCTCTATTTCCTGTGGAGGATGACAGACCTCAGTTACTGATTTGCTACTATATAATGATCAGCAGTGACAAAATTAACCTTTATTTATTAAGTGGTAAAGTTAACTATACATATCAAAGAACTCCATAACTCTATCATCTCAAATCAGTATTTCTATTAACAATAAAGCCAATTTTATTAACCAGAAGTTTCAGTAACACTCTGGACTATTTTCAAATGGTGTTTTTAGGGGGTCTATGTTAACTTTCTACCTTAATATGAAGCTTCATGTGGCAAGTCAGCACGTTAACCAACTGGTCCAATTCTTAACATTAGAAATCTATGTAGATCTGCTAAGGTTGGTATCCCCTCATTTCATCTAAACCTGACTGAAAAGGAGCAATGAACATAATTAACTAGTAATTATGCTGCAAATAATAATAACTGCTTGAGGGAAGATTAAAAAAAAGGTCATGTCATAAAGCTTCTAAAGAATATTCTTCAGAGTAAATACTTTAATACTACATATATGAATATCTTATGTAGCTAAAGTTGAAAAATTATATACTATCAAACTCCAAAATTTGATTTTCAGTTGGCAGGAAGGTAGGCACAATTTTAATAAAAACTATGATTATGAATCTTTCCTTCAAGAACCGAAGAGGCAGGGACCTGAACCTGTAAGATCCAGCCTAGGGGCAGAGGTTATCACTTCAATGAGAGAATGGTTCAGTGGGCCTGCAATGCACAGAAGGGTCAGGCGTTTGGAAAGAACACTAAGAAGCCAAGCACAGACATTACAGGAAACCATGCTTCAGACGGGAAAGTCAAAGGAGGCAGCAGCAGACAAATAACTGATTACAGTTTAGAAAAGACTGTGGATGAACACACTTCTAAACAGATGGCAGTGGCCTAGCAAGAGGGGCACAGTACCAAGAGGGATTTGGCTTCAGTGAATAGGAGTATTTTACCCCTGATACTGTTCAGAATTGCCAGTATCTGGTCATAATAAAGTGTAACTACTTTTAGTTTGTTTATTATTTTTAAATCAGCTGCAGACAGTGCATTCCTTTGTCACCTGCACCTGGATGCACTGCTCCACGCCCCCTGTCTCCCGGGGCACCACCAACACAGACTTCTGAAATGACCTGCTTGACACTGTCTCTATGCCAAAGACAACTGTTCAGGCTGTGTCAAGAGAAAGAACTCTCCCCCAAAAAATAAGACTTCAAAATTATTTTCATTACTTTCATTATTTTATAGTGTAGTTAACAGTAATATAAGCAGTTCAGGGGCTTCCTTGGTGGCTCAGATGGTCAAGAATCTACCTGCCAAAGCAGGAGACCCAGGTTTGATCCCTGGATTGGGAAGATGCCCTGGAGAAGGGAATGGCAACCCACTCCAGTGTTCTTGCCTGGAAAATCCCATGAACAGAGGAGGTATATTACATATTAATATAAAAATTAAATACTGGTTTAAAAATCAGTTTGTGTTTATCTAATGAACATACATATTTTAGTGATGAGAAAACATTTAAATTAAAAATATAACATTATCTTAGCATATTTAACTCTAAGGGAGAAAAATGCCCTTTAACCAGATTCTATTCTTTTAAAATCATAAAAAATGTCAGGAGCTCAAAAGTAGTAACAGTTTTTCCCTAAGCTGACTCTTCTAAAAGCTGAAATTTATTTTCATTTTCATAAAGAGACAAAGGACTTTTCATATTTATGTTCTATAAATTCACTGCTTATAAATATCCTAATTCTATTAAAAATAAAGTTTGCATAAGAGAAAAAGTTATTTCAACCAAATTTCTGATGTGTTACTTGGTCCTACTGTAAGTGCTTTTTCTAGGCTAGAGATAAAATAACTGCCACCAAACGTATTTCAAGGAGATTTGCTGAAGACAGATGAAAGAACCAGAAACTAAAACACCTGACTGAAGGCGAGACGAATGCATTAAACACAGCACCTGGCAAAGAGCACGCAATGAGGGCAGAGTGGCTCCACCTCATCAGGATGGAGAAGTTTCCTATGTACACATGTGATCAGAGACCACGCCACAGCTTCCAGCACTGTCTATAACTGCTTGAAATGAAGGCACTGCTACAAACCTCACTAGAGTCACTACATTTACAAAGAAAAGAACAACAAAAGCACAATGTAATTATGCAATATGAAAGGGGTAAACAGGAATTTGAAATTTAAATGATTTAAATAAATAAAGCTTTCATGAACAAGCACAATGTAATCAACAATTTAATGCTATACATTTTTTTTAAGGGCATACACTATTCTGCCATGTAAAATAAAAATAAAGTCAATTTCTGAAGTTTCTGAATTCTTAGGAATTTAGTGTACCTTAACATGGCAAGGCTTCTTAATAATGTATTCAATCATGATTAATAAAGGCTATTGGCTGAGAGACTGCTACTAATATAGTGGGGTTCAAAAAATGAGCAGTTGAACACTCCTCTTCTAATATTCAACTTCATATGCAGTAGGCTCCAAAGGTTGTATTTTCAAGTTATTCATAAATACACCAACTTCCAGAGTTTATCTGGCATCTAATAATCAATGTAAAGTAAGCCAATGCTTTATTTACGGACTTAAAAGCTTAGCAGAACCAGTGTGGCCTCTTTCACCTCTTAAGCATCAGCTACTATGTGTCCCGAAGCAGGAGACATCACACAAAAGCACAAGGCTGGCTTGTTTTGAGACCGTAGCATTCGTGCTTCCCCCGTAAGGTCTGCAGGCCTGCACAGCGCTAACACCTAGAGACATCGCCCAACCCTTAATTGCATCTTTCCAGCTTACACCTAACTATGTTTCAACTTACCAAATCCCTGTGCAACACCCAGTTAGCATGCAGGTAGTGGATCCCATCTAGAATCTGATACAATAGTGACTTCACCATCCCCCGAGGTAACTGAACTGGCTTCTTGTTTGCTTTAGAAGCTCTGTGAAACTTGATTATATGCTGAAAGAAAGAAAAATATCACCAGAAGCTTAAAAAAGAAAAGGAGGAAAGATAGTTTGATAAATAATATTTTCCTAACTGAAAAGGAAACACTCAGGGATTTCCAAAGATACTGAAAATATCATTTCACATTATGCTGGATAGCATAAATAACCTTAAATAACTACAGCTAAAATGTCATTTCCTGGGCATGGGATAGGGCCTCAGAAAATAAATGACAACAAAGAAGTAGAAAGTAATGTGATTTTATTTTTAAAGTATAATTAAAAATTACTTTCAGAGTTACTTGACCTGTTTATCTAGTGAAAATTTTCAAGAAACAAATATCTGCTATTCTGCAGTGAATAAAATGTGTATTAAATGAAAGAAAGAAAGAAAAAAAAGAATAGAGTTTTGGCTGGCTGACATAGCATAGGTGTGGTACCCATTTACCACAACTGGGTTATAAAGAAAGCAAATGGAAAAATATTTCAATTAAGTACACAGACGCACAAAGGAATAATATGTAAATGACCAGCTCATATCTCTGGTCATATATAATATTTAGAAATATCAATGCTTCAGACAAGGGGGGAAAAAACGGCCTTGAAACATCCAGCAGAGCTTTCTAGGTATAATGTTAGTGGACATCCAGTAAACATAATGCTACTTTATAAACAGAAAAATCATTTTACAAATAAATGTACCTCAACAGAAACAAGATCCAATGTTTCAAACTCTCGACAAATTTCTCCATTGTAATGAAAGCACTCTCAAACTGCAAGAAAATCTAGAAATCGGGCTGCAGCCAACTCTGCTGTGTGTACCACTGGGCACAGGTCTGCATCTAACATGCACAAGAGCAGACTCCTGGCCAGTATCTGACTGCATATTAGGTGTATTCTTGAACTTAGTAAAAATAATTAAAACAGGAGTGAGATATTTAATAGTATAGCTTAACCTTTCCATTTCTCTTTTCTTAAGCCATATATAGAAGTAGAAGATGGGTAAGAAGTAACTAATGACTAATGAGTGAAGGAGTTTTATTTTCCAAAGAAAAAATATAGAGCAAAGGCCTATATTTGGGAAGGTAAAGGGTATCAGTTAGTGTCTTTAGTAGTATGTAGTATGATTAATGTAGTATGTAGTATGATTAATCAATTTAGTATGATTAATCTATCCTTTAGTAGCAGCATGATATTATTTTAATTTTCTTCTCATTTTTTCGAAGTACTTAAGAACAGGCAAACAAAACAGAGCTATAGTAAGTCTTAATAATCTAGACTGTTTTGTCACCTATTCAAAGAAATGACAATCAAGTCACATCACCTTAAGAAGAACCAGTAGCTCTCAGAGCTTAAAAAAAAAAATTAAGATACATTAAAAAAGAAAATTGAAACTTGCCAGAGTAAGAATGAAAGGAATTAATATGCGTGGGAGGTAAGATAATCAATTGATGCTATATACATTTCTTTAGGTAGTATTTTCATTAGGGTATTTACAAATTACTTTTTTACCAATATTTTATAGCTACAAAAACCACAGTGGGGAAATCTCTTACCTTCATTTTCATTCCTGGGCTATATAACAAATATGCAATACGTATACCATAAGATTTCACCAACACCTAAGTAATTTTTTAAAATGACTTTTTATTCTTTTTGCCCTTTGCTGCCTTACCCCAGCTAATTCATTTCAATATTCCAATTAAAATAAGAAAATAAAATGGATAAATAGTTTTAGTAAACTGAATCATCATTTGGTTTTTATTAAAATGAGCATTAGAAGTGCTTATTTGGCTTAAATGAGTTGATAAAGCCAATGGTGACTCTATGCACCCATTCTGCTGTGCTGCTAAGTCACTTCAGTCGTGTCCGACTCTGTGTGACCCCACAGATGGCAGCCCACCAGGTTCCTCTGACCCTGGGATTCCCAGGTAAGAATACTCGAGTGGGTTGCCATTTCCTTCTCCATATACAGACATTACATGCAGCTTATTTTATGAATGGATAATTATTATACCTACACATAAAATTAAATATTACATACCAGCTTTGCTAGAAACCATGTTGAATACAATACTATCTCCTATGCTCAACTATGTCTTATTACATATCATGCTTATCAACTAGCCTGGAAATTTTCTCATAAACTTGGATTATATAATTTGATTTTATATTACATTTGAATTTGATGAGTGTTCAATACTGGCCACTCCAATTTAATGAACTTTCATTAACAGAATCTGAATTTGATTTGATTTCTTTTACAATAACAGAAGCCAACAAAAACTATCATGAACCTTGGGCAATAGTCTCATAAAAGAGGGAGAATTTCATGTGTCTATTTTCTGTTTGAAAATAGTTCTTTCCAGGTAACTTATATAAAAATAAATTGAATCAAATCACATTTAGTCATGTAAAATAGCAACCTACAAACAATACAAAAAAACTTTTTTAAAAAAATAAATCTGAAAGCATATGAAACCAAAGTAAGTTTCAATTTCTGGAGTCTGTTAAAGTTAAAATGACGAAAATGAGGATTCATCTGGAAATTAGCAAAAGAGTTTGAAACTTTCACTATTTTCAGAAGGTGAATTTCCTTTTACAGTTTTACCGGGATTTGTGCTAGCTTTATTTCAAAATTTTGTACTTCCATTTACGAACTACAGCTGAATGAAAAGATAAATTATTTTGAAGATTCTGAAATTGAGCCAGGATACTGTAATCCCTTGCATATGTTTTCTCTTTTTATTTAGCTCAATAAACGCACAGCCATGCTAATTCAGTTAAGTATAGACAGAATGCAAAATATAGCAAAATATTTAAAGAACTTATTACATATTAAACAGCAGAAAAATATATTTCACAATAGTGAAGTAGTTAATCAATTAACTTGACACAATACTGGATATTATTTACTTGTAAAAAAGAGCAGTAAAAGTATTATATTTTACAGATGGGGGAAGCTACCCCTTCAGAGTCATCAAGAGATTTGCCCTATGTCATATGACAAATAGGCCCACTAAATGTCAATCTGAGTGAGTGAATTTAAGTCGCTCAATTGTGTGAGACTCTTTGAGACCACAAGGACTATATATATATATAGTCCATGGAATTTTCCAGGCCAGAATACTGGAGTGGGTAGCCTTCCCCTTCTCCAGGGGATCTTCCCAACCCAGGGATCAAACCCAGGTCTCCTGCATAGCAGGCAGATTCTTTACCAGCTGAGCCACAAGGGAAGCCCAAATCTCAATCTAGTTCTCCAAATAAATACAACATACTCAGGTCCCTACACAAGGTATTATCACCTTCTTGTGGAAATGGCAACTACTCTTGCCTAGAAAATCCCATGGACGGAGGAGCCTGGCAGGCTACAGTCCATGGGGTTGCAAAGAGTCGGACAGGACTGAGCGACTTCACTTCGCTACAGAATAAAAGGAAATAGGCTGTTTTTAAATTTTACAACAAAACAGTTATTACTGTTACTTTTTTTTGTGTTGTCAAAATCCACAGCTAGGAAACAATATTGAAGAGCTGTTTATACTCTTCAGATTCTTTTGTTCTCTGCAGCATGTCAAACTGATAAGAACAAAAGTAAAAATACAAAGCAACACTCTAGCCTTCATACTTTCTCAACTGTATTCTGAGATCCCTTTTATCTTAAAATAATAACTCTAATACTACGATGAACTCCTCAAATTGTCTCCAGTTAGTCCTGTTGATCCCCGACTGAAACCATGGCCCCACATCCACCATGGTGCGCCTTACCCAGAGGTCATGTTCGGCATAGTCAAACAGAAGCCACACTTTCCTGTCTGCATGAGACAGAAACACCTTTTGAAGAGAGATGACATTTGGGTGCTTAAGTTCTCGAAGTAGCTGCAAAACAAAGGGGAGTCATTAAAAATCTTTGTCATAAAACATGAAAAACCCTACACTGTTTGTAACTCAAAGGCAATACAAACCTAATGGTACTCAATCCTAAAAATCTAATAAATATCCATACAATTTTGAGATGCCCATACAAATGAATAGAAATCTGTGGACAAAAGATACTGAAAAGATATAATTGTGTAAATCTGTCAGTTTTGTTGTTATTGTTCAGCCGGCTTCCTTCTTTAATGTTTTTATTATGGTAAAATACATATAATGTAAAAATTACCATTTTATGCTACTGATGAACCTATCTGCAGGGCAGGAATAGAGACTCAGACATACAGAACAGATTTATGGACACACTAGGGGCAGGAGAGGCTGGGTGAATTGAAACAGCAGGACTGAAATATATGTTACCATATGTAAAACAGATAGCTAATGAAAGCTGCTATATAACACAGGGAGTTCGACCTGGTGCTCCCTGATAACCTAGTGGGGTGGGATGGGGTAGGAGGTGGGTTCAAGAGAGAGGGAACATATGGATACCTATGGTTGATTCCCGTTGATGTATGGCAGAAACCAACATAATAGTGTAAAGCAATTATCCTTCAATTAAAAATAAATATAATGTTAAAATATTATGTTGTAAAAAATTTTCAAATAAATAAAATTTTAAGAAATTACCATTTTAACCATTTTTAAGGGTACAATTCAGTAGCATAAGCACACTCATAATGCTATGCAGCCATCCCCACCATCCATTTTAGAACCGTTTTATCATCCTAAACAGAAATTCTGTACCCGTTAAATGATAACTCCCCACTTTTCTCTCCCTGTGAGCCCCTGGTAACCTCTAATCTACTTTCTGTCTCTATGAATTTGCCTATTCTAGGTGCCTCACGTAAGTAGAATTATTCAGTATTTGTCCTTTTGTGTGGCTTATTTCACTAAGCATAACTTAGTCTTTAAGGTTTATCCATGGTGTAACATATTTCAAAATTTCATTGCTTTTTATGGCTGAGTATGTTCCATTCCATATATACACATCTTGCTTATTCATTCATCAGCTAACAGTCACCGGTTATTTCCACATTTTGGCTACTGTGAATAATGTTGCTATGAACACTGGTGTATAGGCACTCAAATTCCTCCTTTCAGTTCTTTGAGTAAATACCTAGGAGGGGAACATAGAGATCATATGATGACTCTGTTTAACTTTTCCAGGAACCACCAAACTGGTTTTGACAGTAGTTTCACCGTTTACATTCCCATCAGCAATGTGTTGAGAGTTCCAATATCTCCACACCCTCACCAACGTTTATTTACCTTCTAAATCTTTTTTTATAATAGCCACGTCCTAATAGGTATGATGCTGTATCTGCTGTGGCTTTGATTTGCACTCCCGAATGACTCATGGTGTTAAGCATCTTTTCATGTGCTTATTGGTGTATCTTCTTTGGAGAAAATGTCTATTCAAGTCTTTTCCATAATGTCTATTCAAGTCCTCTGCCTATTTCTGAACTGGGTTTTTTGATGTTGTTATTGAGTTGTATTTCCTTATATAGTGTAGACATTAATCCTTTAGCAGTATATGATTTACAAATATTTTCTCTCATTACACTAGTTGTCTATGTTTTGACATCACACAACAATACACTTAAAACAAATCTGTAATTCTTTGAAAAACTAACTATAGTTGTCCCTCAGTATCAGAGGGGGTCTGATTCCAGGACACCCCAATACCCCACCCCACATGGGTACCCAAATCCCCCAGTGCTCAAGTTCCTTATGTAGAATGGTACAATATCTGCATATAACCTATGCACATCCTCCCATATACTTAAAATCAGCTTTGGATTACTTAAAATACCTAATACAATGTAAACACTATACAAATAGTTGCTGGAGCAGGTAGATTCAAATTTTGCTTTTTGGAACTCTCTGGAAATTTCTTTCCCCCAAAATTTCCTATTTGCAGTTGGTTGAATCCATGGATACAAAGGGACAACTGTAACAGCAACATTAGAAAATACAACAAAATAACACTATCACCACTGAATACCAAATGAGAATTAAGATCTGTAATTCTGTGAGATACAGTACCTATTTTCTCAGGTATTTACATTACAAAGTAAAGTTGATAAAAATTTTATAAATGTTTCATAAAATAATAAAGAGCTTATATAGATAGAAACAACCAAGTAGAACACACTTTAAGGGCTTATTAACCCTTGTCATCCCCGAGAAGGACATTCTTCTATTTAATACCTTGGATCTCCATATTTTATCTCCATTTAGCAACCCAAGTGGCCCTAATAATCCATCAGCATTCCCCCTCCACTAAGCAAAAACAAATAAAACAGCAACAATAAGAAAAAACTTCACATGAAGCCTGATATTCTGTCTTTATCAGTTAGACATGATTTACACCGTGTCCTACAAACATGTTCCAAAGACATGACAGACCTGTGAGAAAGTCAAGGTCTTAAGAACTTAGGACTTCAGTATCTTTTATAAGAATACTGTCACCAAAACAGCTATCAAGTAAATGTAATGTTAATAATGTATTAGGGGCTCTGAAATGAATTCACAAAAGACAGACTATGAATGGATTATATATGAAGTCATTTATATGAACAATTATTCTTTGGAAATTGATGATTATTCTATTTAGGAACAAGATTAAATTCAAATTATATATTTCTACTTTTAGAACAAAATTTCAAACTTATGAAACTCTAGAGATTAAATACAAATTCTCTGAAATTTAAGGCCAATATCTAAAACCATTTGCTAATTAACAAACAAGGCCAAGAATCTGATACAGGAAAGCTGGGGCTTTGGGGTCACTGGGGACCAGTCAGCTGGCTGGAAGAGTGGACCTAGCACTAAGTTCATCTCAGTTCTGGGTCAGTGTTTTCTCCATTACCTCACAACTGGAACACACTTCTCAGCTGGGCAGCTATTTCAAATCCTCTCTGGAAACCAGCAGGGTGGAAATTATAATAAACAAACTCCAAAGCTTGGCAAAAGCTCTCTCAAATTATTAGAAACCTACATATAAGTAGGTTATTCTTAGGTGTCGCCTGAATCTCACCTCTGAGGAGAGGTTGAGTTCCTGTACTAAAAAGAAAACAGCAGCAACCATTTTACTAAGCTTTTCCCAGGTGCCAAGAATGGGACTAAGTAGGTGACATGCACTATCTCACTCCATCATGAATTACCCTATGAAATATTTATACTGCTCCTGTTTTACAAAGAGGAAATGGTGGTGTAAGGAGATTAAATAATTTGCTCAAGGTCACATTCATAAGTAGTGGTTAGAATCAGGATTTAAATGCTTTTGAAGTTAATTAATTAATTTCTAAAATACAAATCCAACACTCTGTGGTCTAATACCAACACCTCCTAAGACCTACCCCCAGGGGCAGTAATTCTCCTTCATCCAGAGACACAGATTTTAAGTACATACTAGGCTGTGAACTGGACAGTGGCAGGCACTGTGTTTTGATTATCATGGGACTGCTAGTTTCAAGCACACTGCCTGGTACTTGAAAGGTACTCATTAAACACCTGGTGAATATATGAATAACTGAATTCATGAATAAACAAAATATATCAGCTAAAGGGCATCATCAACACACCCTCTGTCTTCTGAACTGTGGACTAACATCAATGCTTTCATCAAAAAAATCAATTCACTTCTATTTTAAAGAAAATCCATCTGATTGGTCAAATATTAAGTCTTTGAGGGCAATGATTTTACTAGTAAGTTAAGTATGATTATTATAGTAGTAATAAAAGTGTTACAGACTTAACCAAGTTTGTATATGCAAATTCTTGTGTTGAAGCCCTAAAGCCCGGCCCCCCAGAATGATTCTATTTGGAGATAAGACCCTTAAAGAGGCAAATAAGGTAAAATGAGGTCAGTAGGATGGGCCCTAATCCAATCAGAATGGTGACCTTATAGAAAAGGAGATTAGAACGCAGAGAGACGTGACCTCGTGAAGAGGCCACAACAGGGTGGCCGTCTGCAAACCAAGAAGAGGTCTCACAGGAAGCCAACTGTGCAGGCACCCTCCACCACTAAGAAAATAAGGTTCTGTTGTTGAAATCCCCCAGTCTGTAGTATTCTGTTGTGGCAGCCCGGGCAAATAGTACAGTAAATAGCTATTACTACTGAGTTCGTACAACTCGCTCTCCTGGGAGTTGGGTCACTGAGGGATTGGAGCTGGAGCCGAGTCTCTGTGAGGAGCTGCCTCTAAGTAAATATTTACACTCACGCACTTCCAAAGGGCCAGGGAGCTCTGGCAGGGCTCATTTACCCAACACCTGCCACACTCCAGGCCCTGTGGTAGGTGCTACACAAGGTCCCAGGATATAAAATGTGCTGAGACCTTCCACAGAAGTCCTCCGGCACTAGATAAATTCAAATGGGCAGGCTGTCTATGCACTGTGGCTGCCGCAGTGATGACTGGCATCTCCTGAGAAGCCAATAGGTACCCAGAGTTCACCATGCCCCAAGAAGTGACCAACACTCCTCATGCACAGAAACCCTATGAGATACCACTGCTCTCATTTTACAAAGAGGAAACTAAAACAGGGATATCAGGTAACCTGCTTTGGGTCCTACAAGCCAAGTACGTGGTAAAGCCAGGGTAACAAGTGAAGTGAAAGTCTCTCAGTCATGTCTGACTCTTTGTGACCTCATGGACTATACAGTTCACGGAATTCTCCAGGCCAGAATACTGCAGTGGGTAGCCGTTCCCTTCTCTAGGGGATCTTCCCAAGCCAGGGATTGAACCCAGGTCTCCTGCATTGCACACGGATTCTTTACCAATGGAGCTATCAGGGAAGTCCAAAGCCAAGGTAAGAGCCCAGGTAATCTGGGTAGGGTCTTAACCACTCTCTGTAACCCTGTGAGGTGGTGAGCTAAGAGAGGAACAAGGAGGATGGTAGTGGGGGAAGAAACTAGTAATCAACAATAAACTATCCAGAAAGCCTCACATATTTAAAAATTAAACCATATATTTCTAAATAACCCATGAATAAAAGAAAAAACTCACAAAGAAAATGGAAATTGTACTAAGTGATGATAATAATACAACGTGACAAAATTTGTCAAGAGAAAAATGCAGGAAAAACATAGCTTAGGCGCAAATTTATAGTCTTAATTGCCTATATTAGAAAAGAATAGTTTAAAAAAGAAAAATCAATGACCTAATGGTCCACCTTAAGAAGATAAGCAGGCCAAAAGTAAGTAGAAGAAATAATAAAAGTTTAAGAGCAAAAATCAATGACACAGAGAACACAGATTACCAAGTCCACAGTGAAACAGGGACACGACTCTAGAAGCTACATTTATGAAAGATAGTAAGAGAGTATTCTTAACTTTGTGCCAGTAAATTCAATAACTTAAAATGAAAAAATTACATAAAAAACACAACTTAAACACAAAATACTAAATGTGAAGATATATGGTTTGTGAATTCTGTCAAGCATCTGAGGAAAAATAACTGCCAACTGCACGGAAACTATCAGAATACAGAGGATGAAGAAAGGCTGCCTGACCTGTTCCGTGAGGACAGCACTTCAATACTGAAGACAAAGGCATTACAAGAATGATAATCATAGACTAACATTCTTCAGAAGACCTAAAACTCCTTAACAGCACACTAGTAAATCAAATCAATGATATAAATAATCAAGCAGGGATTATTTCAAAACTGCAAAATTGGGTAAGTATTAGGAAAGTAATCAATGTAGTCAACCAATATAACAGTAAGAGAAGAACTATACAGTCATTTCAGGACATGCAGAAAAAAGCATTTGACAAAATTCACTACCATTTACAAAAAAAAAGAAAGAAGTGAACTTCCTAAAGCTTGACTAATGATATCTATAAAAAGCCTACAGCTAGCATTTAACTTGATGGTGAAACACTGAAAACACTTTCCCCCAAGACTGGGAACAAGTAGTAAGATGCTGGCTCTCACCACTATCCAACATCTTCTGAGAGGTTCTAGCCAATGCAATAGGAAAGCAAAAAAATAAACGCATACAGACAGAAAGTAAAACTATTCCTATTTATAGATGACGTAATTATTTACGTAGGAAATTCCAAGGTATCATCAAACCTACCAGTGAATTTAGAAATAAAATTTATATAATATATAGCATTTTAGGGCTTTCTCTGTGGCTCGGTGGTAAAAAACCCGCCTGCCAATGCAGGAGACATGGGTTTGATCCCTGGTCTGGGAAGACCCCATATATCACAGAGTAATTAAACTTGTGCACCACAACTACTGAAGCCTGTGTGCCCTAGAGCCTGTGCTCCGCAACAACAGAAGCCACTGAATTAAGAAGCCCACACACCGCAACCAGAGAAAAGTCCATGCGGCAACGAAGACTCAGCACAACCAAAAATAAATAAATAAAGTTATATGAAAAAAAAAAAAAAAGGACAAAGGAAATACTCAGAAAAAATATAGGTAAGTAAGTGGGTAAATCAGGTAAATCTAAATAAATTTGATTTTAAAAAACGTATTAAAAAAAACCATTCTAAGTACAGAAGCAAAGTAGAAGAAAATATTTTAAAATAATACATATATAGTACAGAAAACATAAAATCCTTAGGAATGAATTTAACAACTATGTAAAACTTCCACACTAAAAAACTATAAAACATTATTGACAGAAATTTTGCAAAAACCTTAAAAATGGAAAATATACCTTCTTAAGATTCATGGCTTGGAAGTTTCAGTATTATTAAGATATCAGTTCTCCCTGAACTGATGTAAACCATAATCTCAGCAGGCAGTTTTTAGAAATAAAAATGACTAGCCAGTTCAACAATGTATATGCTAATTCAGAGAACCTAAAATAGCCCAAACAATCCTGAATCCAAAGAATAAAGCTGGTGGCATTATACCACCTCACTTCAAGTCTTGATGTGTGTGATGCAGAGTGATCTGGAATCAGCCATGGAGAGACAAAGAGATCAATGGAACAGAATAGAGCCCAGAAATAGTCCAACACTTACAGTCATTTCATTTTTTACAAATATGCCAAAGGAATTCAATGGAAAAGAGTCTTTTCAAAAAATGATGCTACAATTGTACATTTACATGGAGAGAGGGGAGGAGACATTCAAGCATTACATCAGACTACAAATAGAAATAAAGTGAACAGATCACAGACTTACAATAAAAGCTAAAATTGCAAGGCTTTAGAAGAAAACAAAGGGAAATATCTTCACAATCAGCAAACAGATGAAGATTTCTTCAGCCAGACACAGAAAACAAGTCATAAAAGAAAAAACTAGCAAATGAGACGTCATCAAAATTAAAAATTTCTGCTCACCTTAGGTATAAGAACCAAGATCAAGTACAATAAAAATAAGGAGTATTCCTTATTGTGCTTAACTGCATTTACAATTATCAACCCAGATAAAAAGCTAAGAATGTTTCTGAACTGAATGGAGAGTTGTTTTAAAAACTTTTTTGTTGGAGAATAATAAAGACAGAGGAAAGCACATGAATGCTAAGTGCACAGCTCAATGAGTTTTCACACGTGAAACCCACATGACCAGACCCAGGGCAAAATCAAGAAACGGAACATCACTAGCATCCTGAAAGCCCGCTTGTCTGTCCTTCTGCTCCCTCTCTGCCCCTCCGAAGGTCATCACTATCCCGATGCCCAACATCACTACCATACTGCAATGGATTTTAATCCTTTACAACTGACCAGAACACAGAGAACAGCAGAAGCTGCAGAACTGACAGTTAATGAACAGATATCTTACCTCAAGATTCAAGGGTATGAGAATTTTATCAATGAAATGAAACAGTTTTCATTACAGCATACCTTTGGTTAAGAACGCCCTCCATCTCACTCCTATTCCTCCCTTGTGGGGGTAATACTTACATGGCCTCCAAAATCTGAAACCCTCCTCGATTCTCTCCTGCTGCTGCTAAGTCACTTCAGTCGTGTCTGACCCTGTGCGACCCCACAGATGGCAGCCCACCAGGCTCCCCCATCCCTGGGATTCTCAAGGCAAGAACACTTCCTCAATTCGCTAGTTATGTATATATACCCTTTTCCCAGTCACTTCTATCATAGTGTCTGTTACACTGTTCCTATAAGAGTTATGAGTCTACTTCCTCATCAGTGTGTAAACACTTAAGGCCAGGGTTCTTGACTTTTCTAAGTTTCTATACTTTTACTTGGTCTAGTTGCTGTCAATATGATACAAAATAATTGACTATTGGTTGAAAACCCAATGGTATAGAAGCTGTTAAATTGAGTAAAATTATTTAAATTAATACCTCCAGGCCGTAACAGCCTATATCTGTAGAAAGAGGGCTGAAAGCAATAAAAGTAAAGACTATTATAATACATATTTTAGAATATTCTGACTAGAGACTGAAAAGATAAGTCTGGACCCATAGTTTCCCAATAGTAAAAACTGAAGTAAAATCTCACTTTAAATGTATGAATAATTATTTGGTAATGCATTAACATGAAGAATATTTTCCTTCGGAATCAAAATGAGATTTTAATTACCATATGGCAAGGATATGCTTCCAAAAAGGGGGGTATATAATTTTACATATGCAAATGGACAGAAACAATGAAAATCAAATAATCCCATTTTAAGTTCATAAGTAATGGCAATAATTTCATCTTATTAAAATAGAAACATGAATTTTATATGAATTAACATATAATAAATACTTCTATTACACACAATGAAAAAAGAATAACTGGGCCTTTATCTATTTAGTGACATTTTTTGGAAAATATAAATTTAAATAGTTGATATGAAAAATACTTCTCGTGCTCGCTTCAGCAGCACATATACTAAAATCGGAACGATACAGAGAAGATTAGCATGGCCCCTATGCAAGGATGACATGAAAAATACTTCTCAACTGTCAGTTAATGTGTTTGTGACAAATACAATTCAGAGACCTATATAATTGACATGCATAAGTCAGTTGATAATAATGATGATAAAAAAGAGCTTCACTTACTGCTATTTCTCTACATGCCGACATAGAGATCCCGGTTCCTTCTATCTGTTTTAAAGCATAGTCTTTATCATCTTTCCTGTGAAAACAAAGTGATTTTAATATATAAATCTAAATATACATGCATTTTAATATATATAAAGAAATACGAATCACATACACTTTGACACTCTTCATATACAATCACATAATTTCACATGGGAAAAACTTTTTAGATAATCCAGCACAATCACATTATTTGATGAAGAAAGTTATATTAAACCAAATAAAAAGACCTGTCCAAGGCTCTATGTTTATTTGCACAGAAGAGAAAGAAGATTCCAAAATGAAGCTCCTGACTGCCAACAAGTAACGTTCTTTCTGCTCTAATACGTATACGCTTCCCTGTGTGTGTGTGTGTGTACACATGTGTGCACATGTATGCACATGTACACAATGCATATAAAGTAAAACTTGCTTTCTTAAAACCCACTCAGATATTAAGGGGTCAAAAAAGTTAAGAAATGAATGCATCTCTCATAAAGTACAAAATGATTATGATTTAGAACATGTTATAGTTCATATCCCCAAATACCTTCAAAAAGATTCACTCAGCTTGTGTTTGCTGAGTACTCACTGTCTCCAGAACTGGGGATTGACTGGGGTTCCACCTCCATGGTGGAGCTTTAGTGAGAGGTAACTAACAGACCCACCACAGGATATGTGCCAAGGCACAACCCGCAGAGGTGACCCAAAAGTCACACTGTGGAGACCCAAGCCAAGTCTCCTCAGAGGAAATCCCAACTAACCAAGGCCTGAAAGACGGTCCTCAGACCTTCTGGACTTGGGTGTCACTGAAGACCCTGAAGAGGTTCTATCAGTATTAACCCTCTTAGAATTTAAAAATGGGAACTGTTAAAAACACAGCCTACAAAAGCACATACCCACTAGCCACCAGAGCAACGGCATCATCACCTGACACGTCACCTTTAAGAAAAAGCCACTGTACACTCATGAGAATCAGAGTGAAGAAAGGCAAAGAATATAGCACTATTATGAAAATAGTGTTGACCCTGCAGATCCTCTGAAAGGATTTTGGGGACACCTAGGGCTTCCCAGATCACACTCTGAGAACTGTGCTGTGTATGTGTGTTAAGAGGGAAACACAGTGTGCCGTTATCACCTGAAGGGAGGGAAAAGCATTTGAAAAATAGTCACATTAAATAACTGAAGATGAAGCTGGGGATACAATTAGGAGCCAGATCATACAAGTCTTTTTATTCCAAGAACAAGAGGACACACTCCATTCAGGATTTTTAAACAGGAGAATAGCAATCCTCCTTTGGGGAAAGCATCTTTGCCTACCTTTTTTGAATGCCAGGGAGGTGTGTGTGTTGGCGGGGGGG